CGGCGGATCATGAGGTCAAGAGTTCGAGACCATCCTGGCCAACGTGGTGAAACCCTAAGTCCACTAAAAATACAAAAATTAGCTGGGCACAGTGGTGTGTGCCTGTAGTCCCAGCTACTCAGGAGGCTGTGGCAGGAGAATCACTTGAACCCGGGAGGTGGAGGTTGCAGTGAGCCGAGATCGCACCACTGCACTCCAGCCTGGCAATACTCTGTCTCAAAAAAAAAAAAAAAAAGCTTTTTGGAACAGGCAGTGATCAACATGAAGCTGGATTGAGAACTGCTGGAGATTTAGAATTGTGCCTCTCCGCGTATGTTTGGTAAATATAGGAGAACATTTGTTCGCAACCTGGCAACCCAGGGATGCTTTTCCTCCAAAAGAGGATCCAGCAGCCCTGAGGGAAGGGATACTACAAATGGCACACCCTCGCCTGGAGCCCAGCTTTTATCCTCGCCTGGAGCCTCAAATTGGTTTCTGCTGCCTTTCTTGTGCCTGTGGTCACTGCCACAAGCAACTAGAAGTTTCCTTCAAAAATAATAGATCAGGCATACCATGCCTCTGCTCAAAATCCTCCCAATGGCTCCCCATCTCACTCAGGAAGATTTAGACTCCCTATGTGGCCCCCAAGCCAGGCCACTTCCCTTCATTTCATTCCCACCCCACTTGCTCACCACTTGCCAGCCTCCTGGACTTCTTGGTGTTCACCGAACCTCCCATACTCAGTCCCATTAGCTGTTCCCTCTGCCTGGTACCCTCTTCCCAGATATTCTCACAGCTGGCTCTTCCTCACCCTCCAGGTCGCAATGCTCATGCCACCTCAGAGAGGTTTCCCCTGACAACCTAAAGCAGTGAGACCCCCATTGCTATCACAACACTTAATACTGCATGAAATTATTTTATTAGCCACCTCCTTCCACTAAGATGTAAATGCAGGAAGGTAGGCACTTTGTCTTATTCATCACTGAATCCCTAGGACCTCAGAGTTGCATGAGAGTTTGGCCAGCCCCTACTAAGTGGGAAGATAAGCATACACGCCCCCTGTGCCAAATTGCCTGCTCTGCCTCAGGAAGAAGACCAAAATGGTTGGAGGGGTATCAGATTTTTTTCCTCCCATCTGTATCTGTAGCTCTCTGTTCCCAGGACTCTGCATTTTGCTCTGAAGCCCTAAAACACACCCCCTTTCTCAACCACACCCAACCCCATCCCTCACCATCACATCTGTGGTTTTTTGCACATAAGCAAAGCAGCAGGGAAGCTGGATGTGCTCTTCATGGATGTGGGGGCAGGGCTTTCCCATTTAGCATGGTTTCATAGAATGCTCTTGATGTGTCCTGCAGACACAGGTCCGGGAAGACCCACCAGTTCTCTCTCTTGCTCTGTTGCTGCGATTCTGCAATTATTTGCCATGTTATCATGTTTAGCTCTGGCCTGTGAACATGCACATAAACAGAATGAATTAGAGTAGAAACAATATGATTTTCTCAGCTATGTGTAAATTATAAAAATATACATTTTAAAGAAAAATATACATTGGATAGCCAGATTTTGTTGCTTTAAAAATATTCACAATAGAAAATGAAACTGGGGGCTGTGAAAAATGAAGTCTGTTCACATGTCTACCATTTCTTTCATAAGAATTGTGTGTAGGACAGGCCAAGGGCACCATGCATTTTTTCCTCTACCATTTCTGCTGTAGCTAGCTAGAGACACAGTCCTCTTCCATCCTTTACTCACCCTCCCTCCGAACTCACTTCAGACCAATTAGAATTAAGATAAAAAGTTGAGTGGGAAATGAATAGAAAGCCCAGGAAAATGGAATAAGCAAGGAAAGTTAAACAAGTTCTTCCAAATGGCTTGAACAGTCTGGTGGGGACTGTCACCTGTGGTAGACAGAATAAGATGCTCCAAGATTACCATTCCCTGTCCCCTTCCCTACAGCTTCCTTGATTAGATGACTGTACTGAGTTTCCTGTGACTGCTGTAAAAGAGTACCATGGACTGGGGGACTTCAACAACAGAAGTGCATTGTCTCCCAGTTCTGGAGGCTGGAAGTCCAAGATCAAGGTGTAGGCAGGGCTGGTTCCTTCTGAGGTCTCTCTCCTTGGCTTGTAGATGACCATCTTCTCCCTGTGTCTTCTCTTGATCTTCCCTTTGTGTGGTGTTTGTGTCCTAATCACTTTGTTCAAGGACCCCTGTCACACTGGATTAGGGCCCATCCTAATGACCTTGTTTTACCTTAGTTACCTCTTTAAAGAGCCTATCTCCATATATAGTCACATTCTCAGGTACTAGTGGTTAGGACTTCAACATATGAATTTTTTAGAGGGGACACAATTTTGTATATAACAGTTATGTTACATGGTGTGCTAGGCAGAATGATGACCTATCAAATATGCTCATCTGATTCCTCAGAACCTGTAAACATGTTACTTGATCTGGCAGGGGAGAATTAAGGTTGTAGATGGAATTAAGTCTGCCTCTCAGCTGACTTTAAGACAGGGAGAGTATTATCAGTTTTTGGGGTGGGCCCAGTGTTATTTGTCACAGGCTCTTGTGATTGGCTAAAAGTATGGTGCCCCAAAGATATATTCACTTATTATTTCCTAGAACCTGTGGATATTACCTTATGTAGGAAAAGAATGAGTATTACCTTATACGGGAAAAGTGATGAAGGATGTTGAGAGGGAGTGTTTATCCTGGATTATCTGGATGGGATAATTCTTAATAATTTTTAAAATCCTAAATGCTATCACATGCATACTTAGAGAGCAGAGGGAGTTTGAGACATACCCATGAGAGGAGGTAGCCATGTGAAGATGGAGGCAGAGATGGGAGTGAGGCAGCCACAAGCCAAGGAAGCCTGGGGCCACCAAAAGCTGGAAGAGGCAAGGAAGGATTCTCCCCCAGAGCCTCTCGGGGGAGTGTGGCTCTCTTGATGCCTTGATTTAGGATTTCTGGCCTCTAGAACTATGAGAGAATACATTTCTATTGTTTTGACCCATTTATGCCAGAAGTTGCAGATTTTTTGTGTGTGAAAAATCAGACCTTGGTGATGACCTTGAGCAGTAGGATATAAATAACTCCTATAAGCTTAGTGTTCCAATAGTGAAACACTAGGGATAAATGGGTTAAACCAACAAGTGTGTGAAAATTTGTTATGACTGCCATAAGGAACTAATATGGGTCCTTAAAAGTGGAAGAGGGAAGTTCAGGAGGAAGTCAGAGTGATGTGATGTCAGAAGGATTCAACCTGCTATTCCTGGCTTGGCTGATGGAGGAGGAGAGCTGCAAACCAGGGGCTGTGGGCAGCCTCTAAAAGCTGGAATCCCATGATCACAGTTCTCTGGCTAGGTCACCAGCTTCTCAAAACACCAACAACACAATGGTGTGCTGAAGAATTTGAGAGGGAACCTCATGAAATGGTTCTCAACCCCTACTCCCATTTCTGCCTGAGTGAATTCTAGAGGTCCATGCATTTCCATGCAGTTAGGCACCATGTCAATACATTTTCCTCCCACTCTGCCCAGTGCCTGGCACAGAATAGGTGTCTAAGGCATGTGGTGAATGAATGGATGCCATTCCATATTATGTCCCTTTTTAGAAATCTTTCTATTTAGTTTCATATTAATATGTGCTCTGTTCTCTTAAGCCTCTAAGGCAGCTAGGCCTGACATGTAGGGGACTACTAGTGGTGAATGACCTCCAGAACTAGGCCCCATCTCTGTCCTCAACACAATGTTTTCTACATAATGCACATTCTTCATAACTGATATCATTTGACCACACAGTTATTTATGTCTCAGAAGTCGATGTCATTTTCATTTTAGAAGATGTATGTTCTTTCTGTTAATGCAGTAGGTTTTACAAGTTTAATCTGTAGCTATTTCAAAATATCAAGTGATCATTTTAATGTTGGTTGTTATCTATTTCATTTAGCTTTGATTATTACTACTAATAATGACTCTTTATAATAACCTTCATATAATGTTATGATTATCTATAATCCAACCATAGACCATTGGGGTGGCTGTTTTAGGAGGACCCTTCTAGCTAGAAATAACAGATGTTTTGCTTGTCACATTGAACTCAAGGAGCAAGCTTCCTGAACTCTGACCACATAATAAAATACATATAATCATTTGAACAAAGTAAACATTGGTATATTGAATATTTAATTTTTTTCATTTTCATTATAAATATGCAATGTGTGTTATAGCAGCCAGAATGTAGGTTTTTGTTTTTTTAAGAAAATGAATAAATAAAAATAAATATGCTTTTTTTTTTTTTTTAGTGCATTTCATGAGATCTTCTCTCTAACTTCTTTGGGATAAAGTGATTATCTTTCATATTCTAAAGAATGTTTAGTGGATTTTCTTAGAAGCTATCAGACTTTCCCTTGTAAGCTAGCCCAGTGGGCTGTGTTGTACTTCCTAATCCAAAATCTTTGAGTTGTATAAGATTCTAAAAGAAAATGACAGCATTAAAAAAAAAATTAATGTACTTTATATTTTAGAGGAGTTTTAAGTTTATAGCAAAATTAAGCAGAAAGTACAGAGTTTCCATATGTCCTCCTCACCTGCTCGCACACCCCCAGCCATCCCTACCATCAACATGAACCTAACACTGACACATCTTTATCACCTAAATTCCATAGTATACATTAGGGTTCATTCTTGGTGTTGTACATTTTTAACAAATGTATAATCACATGTATCCAGCATTATAGTATATCACACAGAATCGTTTCACTGCCTTAAAATTCTCCTGTGCTTTACCCATTCATTCCTTCCTCCACCCAAGTCCCTAGCAACCGCTGATCTTTTTACTGTTTACATAGTTTTGCCTTTTCCCAGAATGTCATATTGTTGGAATCTTACAATATGTAGCCTTTCCAGACTGGCTTCTTTCACTTAGCAATATACATTTAAGCTTTTTCCATGTCTTTTTGTGGCTTAATAGCACATTTATTTTTATTGCTGAATAATATTCCACTGTCTGGATGTACCACAATTTATCCATTCACCTGCTGAAGTGCATCTTGATTGCATCCAAGTTTTGGCAATTATGAATAAAGCTAGGATAAGCATTCATGTACCGGTTCTTGTGTGGACATAAGTTCTTAACTCATTTGGATAACTATCAAGGAGCAAGATTGCTGGATCATATGGTAAGAGTATGTTGAGTTTTATAAGAAACCACCAAACTGTCTTTCAGACTGGCTGTACCATTTTGCATTCCTACCAGCAATGAATGGGAACTCCTCTTGCCCCCATACCCTCACCAGTATTCAGTGCTGTCAGTGTTCTGGATTTTGGCCATTCTAATAGGTATGTAGCAGTATCTCATTGTTGTTTTAATTTATAATTTCCTGATAACATATGATATGGAGTATCTTTTCCTGTGCTTGTTTCCATCTGTATATCTTCTTTAGAGGGGTGTTACAACACATTTTAATAACAAGTATTTTAATCAAGACTTTTAAAAAACTGAGAATCTTTTCAAATCTTTTAAAAAATCATCTTCTTTGTTTTGGTTGCTGTTTCCTGTTACCAGTAATAAGAAACATTTTGTAAAATCTAAAGTCTGAAATGAAATATATGAATCAAAAATGCCTGATGTTTGGGAAGCACATTGATTAAGGAGATGAAAGACCTGGCTTCCCATTTCATCTTGCCTCTAAGTGTGTGATCTTTTAGGCAAGTCACTTTCCTTTCTGAATCTTGGTGTCTTCTGTAAAGTAAAGGGAAGGACTAAGATGATTTCTAAAGTTCTTGTGGCTCTGAGTTTCTTTTGTTTTTGTATTTTATGTGAGTCGCTAGAGTGACCACTGTCAACATATAAACATCTGAGCCTTTTGACTGCCTCATGATACATTTAATATCGTTATCGTGAAAATTTTCCATGTTTCTTGTCCGTGCTGAAATGAAGAGCTTTGAATGAGGCTGAAACCTAGCAACCAGCTCTCCTGAAATATCTCATTGAATTTTTTTGTTTGTAGAGAGTATTAGGAGAGAGTATAGACAGCAAAAATGGCAACGATGCTTCAGCGTTAATTTCATTTGATGACTCACCTATTCCGTCATCCAAAGATGGCATTGATCTAAATTGTGACCTTTTCTTCTATCTCATATCATTAAAATAATGCCAGTAAAAGGGCAGTGACTCACCACTGGAGCAGATTCTTCTTGAGAAAATTAGCAATGCACTGTCATGGAAAGCTTGGGCAAAGGATCTTGTATTAGCCTCACCTGGTGAGCAAGCAGCATCCTTTGCCCAGCTCATTAAGTGCCTCTTCTATAATATTTCCTGTGGATTCAATCTAGCCTGACTATGTTATTTTGTTAATTCTCTCCCATTTTGGCAGCATTTCCAGCTTTGAATGCACAAAGTAATTTTCCACCAAATCAGTTGTTAATCGTCATTGCTTCCATAGTTGGAAGGGGCTTAGGGAACTTGTTTTGCACTCTGGAACCGTCTTCATATGTAGTTTATGGAAATAGATTTCCCTATGGACATATATATTAATTGTAGTCTCTACTTGTGGAAGTAGATACTTGAAGTGACAGAAGTGTTGAAGTTACTTTTTTCCGCTTACCAAATGAGTACATCACAGGGAAAAAAAAAACCTAGGAGTTTGGGTCTGAAAAGTATGGCCAGGTAATTATACGCAGTTTGCTTATTATTTCAACATACCCTAGTCTTATTAAATTATATGTCATGGCAATGTTTAATAATAGCTGTCTCTTGTGTTCAGTTTAATCTATACTTCTCTAGCCTACCAAATTCTAGAAGACACTGGATGTAAGTGCTTATATTCCCTTTGTAAAATAGTAACATAACATTACATGTACTTGAAAACGTGATAAATACCTCACACAATTGGAAGAAACCATCTCAGAATCATCTAGTCTCACTCTTCATTGTACCGATAAGACCCAGAGGGCAGAAGTAGCTTGTTGAGGGTCACACATCAAGTCATGAAAAAGCCAGGATGACAACTTAGTTCTCCAACTCCCAGACCAGCTCTCTTGGTATCTCAGGAGCCCCTTGGCATCAGAGTTCTTGGCGATAATGTTGAGTGTTCACGAGAATGTTAAATATTCTGTCTCATCTGCTTACGAAATGTACAAAACATTTAAAAAACATTGCTATCACAAATGGTCTGACTGTATAAGCCCTTGGATTTAAAGGGAGTAAATTAAAATATTTTAAAACTTTACTTATATGTCCCTTCTTGGTCCTCAGTAAATGAGACGCTTTTAGATTATATAAATCAGCAAGGTTGATTTCTACAAGATACACAAACAAATTTAATGTTATAACTTCATGGAACACCACATATGGACTTCTGCTGTGGCATAAAGTACTAAGAAAGGCTTTTCCTCAGAGTTGGTAGAAACAAAATCACTAATGAGTGATTAGAATGGATCCTTGGATCCTTCTGCTGAATAAGGAGCCAATTAACACTTTTTGGAGGTAACATTAACTCTTGGATCCCTGGGCTAGGCTACTAGTTATTGTCTGTTCATCCTTTTCATAAATTCATTTCCTAGTAGATATGGATTTTCTTTTCTCTAGAAGTTTACATACTTTCACAAGAAGTGTGCCTGAACTAAAGATAAATAAGTTGACTATGTTTCAGAATAGTTCTAAATGAATTTTAAGAAAACTTAGGGCAATACAATAATTGGTTGAATCATCCAACTAGAGTAAAACTTCGGAGGCTATGAATAGCAGTACTTTTACTGGTTTCAATATCTATGGGGAGGAGTTGATTAGATTGAATTCCATCAGTCTCACCCTAGTCTGTGTCATTCTTGAATTCATTTCTCTGGGGCTGATGCTGTAGAGGTCAGACTTTTTATTCATTCATCCAGATATTAATTTGTGAAATATTTAATGAGTATATTCCATGTGCCATGTGCTGGGGTACAGAGAGGCATGAAAGACGTGGTGCCTGAACATGAATAGCTCCTGGACTGGAGAGGGAAAATGACAAGTAAGTGAGGATACCCCCTTTTTTGAGGGGTTCCAATTGATATATGCAAGTGATAGGCAGATGGGAGTCAATTCTATGGGGAACACACAGGAATCAATTTCCCTAGGATCAGAGGAAGTTCACTAAAAGTTTTATAGGTGAGATGACACTTAGTTGCTTGGAGAAAGTAATGGAGTTGGCAGTGGGACGTAGGGGTAGGGTAGGATCTGGGAAAGGGCATTTCAGGTCCAGAGCAGAGGAGGAGGTGTGATACCAGGGTAGGAAAGGGTGAGAAGGACTAGGATTGGGGAGGTGACAGGACAAGGATACAGAGGACCCTGTGGATGCTGTGCTTGGCCAAAAGGGAAAGAACTTCGAAATGGCCAGAGCAGAGCTGGAAGGACAGAGAGGCCAGGGCAGAAGTGCAGGGCTAAGGGGCAGGAAAGTAGACAACAGGTTTCCAGCGAAAGGTTTTCAGCAGGAGAGGGACAAGATCAAACCTGTACTATCAGAAAGCTTCCTTACCAACAGCAAGAAGTGACACTACAAACTGTGCTGCAGTGAACTTTCTCCTTGGGCATGAGGGAAACCATAGAAAAACAACCAACTTCCCTCCCAGGAGAGGAACAATGGGATGAACTATGGCCTACTCATGTGGCTGTTTGCCCTTCATAATTCACAAAAGTGATGCACCAATTCTTTGTGTTTCAACATGTATAATATTGAGGGAAGAAAAGTAAGTTGAGTGTTTATGTTTAAAAGAGCTATAACTCCTAGTGTTTTTGTTTGTTTGTTTTTTTTCCCTACTCTGAAGAAATGGAGTTATTCGTGAGCAAGAACAATGTCATATATGGGTCCATTGTTTTGCAGTTTACAATGTGCTTTCATATCCACTATTTCATTTGACCCTCAACTCTGGGAAATAGGTACAACTGGATTCATCTGCATTTGACACATGAAAACACTGGGACACAGAGGGGACAGTCAAAGGCTAGACTGGAACTTTGTGTCCTCTCCTCCTAGGTCAGAACAGGGCTGTCCCTACAGAAGAGCATTGTCTTTAAAGGTTGACATGTTTACTTTTGTTTTTCTTTGACGTATACTCAGCTAAGAGCCCTCTTTGTTTTTTTCTTCTTTAATATTGCATGCAAACTTCACGTTATTTCACATTTTAAAATATCTTTCATTTCTTTTACTATTTTCATACCTAAAAACCAGGCAGTAATTTGTGCTGTTCACTTATTTTTTAAACAATTGCATGCAACTGTTTCGATTCATCTTTAAAAGCTTATTTCCACAGCACATAACAAAGTTAATTAAATTGCTTTTTGAAGCAAGGCTGCTTTGTTTCCCACTGCAAGATGACTCATGAGGTCTGACTGAGTCTCATTTATATTCCTCCCCAGCAGGTAATTTAAATGTGATTTATACGGAAAGGAAAAAAAAGAAAAAAGAAAACAAATGAAGAAAATTACCCCTTGCTTACGTCTTTAACAAGTTATTCTGGATGTGGAGTTAGATAGGAGAGAGCCGCCATGTTTCTTTTGGTGCCCAAACATTCTTGTTGACAGCGGCATTGAAAACTGGCATCTTTGTGCCCCGGGTTGTATAAATGGTGCAGGGAAGGCGGATTTTGGCTCAACCTGAAGAAACACTGATTCTCTGAGATGCCCAGTGGTGGTACCAGCTGGCTTGGGTGGCATTGAGCTCCCTAATGCATGGGTGTGATTCTCTGACAGAGAAGGTTGCTTGGTGGTGTTGGGATAGGGAAGATACCCTAAAGGACTCTTTATTTAGCAATGCATGGGTCCTGGCATATTGAAGGAATAGGAAGGAGCCCAGCCAGCCTGAATGGTGGGAGACTGGGGAGGGTAAAGTTGGGTAGTAAGGTGTGGCAGAATGATGGAGTTTCCTGAGTAGAAACAATATCCTGAATTAAGTTGTCATTTTGTCAAACATTTTTTATTTTATACTTAGAAACTTCTTGGCAGTTGGGAACCACACAGTAGACAGGCAATGAATGTTTGCTGAATGCACACCTGCAGGATTAGGGACAGGAAGAATGGCTGAATGAATGGACACCAGCATGACCTACAGGGGTGGAAGGAAGAGCCATGGGAGGGATTCAGGATGCCTTTTCATGGATTTGGGAAGGTTAGCTTTGAACTAAGGGAAACTTGGAGCCTGCATTCACTAATGTGAACATTGTGGTTTTGTTTTCTGAGTTGTGTATGGGCCAAGTGAGCATTTCACTGGGGTCTTCTAGTCGAAGTAGGTTTCAGGGGATGTCCAAGTAGCCCTTTTGTTTTATTTTTCCAGAAAGCCATCAAAGTGGATCTACTGAAATAT